AAGGTACAGGATAGTTCTAGAAAATAGGTGGCGCCACACCAGTCACGTGACCTCGCTGACGCAACAATATAAGTCCTACATTAGTTAGTTTAAATTGGTAACGCCATACTTACCAAGAGCAACTAGCACTACCCACATGGCTAGTCATTCTTATTCAAGCATAAGGAGAGATTGTAACCTCGAAATATCACCTGACCTACCATTGGAGGACACTGCTGTCAACCTTCATGCACAATATGTAGTTTTACAACCAAGTCTTCTTTGAAAAAACAGGTTTAACCTCAATAGAATTACAAAGGAGGAGAAGTTGCTAGAACAAAATTAACATAATTTTCTTGACCACGTATTATGCAAAAATTGCACGTACCAAGAATAAATGAATTTAAAAAACAAACTAAATTAAGAATGTAGAAAGTGCATGGTATGCCTACGTACCACATTTTTCTTTTCCCGTCTGTTTCAGGCTTGTCTTCAAGCTGACATTAACCTTAATTTTAAAACCTATCAACTTTACCTAGTTTGGTTTAAATTTCGCGCAAAGATACACGAGGGCTATCTGCGCTACCTGTCCCAAATTTAGCAATGAAAGACTAGAGGGAAGGCAGCTAGTCATCACCACCCACCGCCTACTCTTGGGCTACTCATTTTCCAACGAATACTGGGATTGACCGTCAGGTTATAACGCACCCATGACTGAAAGGACAGGCATGTTTAGTGGGACGGGGATTCGATCTCGCGACCATCAGATTGCGAGTTGAGCGCCCTAACCACCTGGCCAAGAAATATGCCGATATTTTATTTAATTTATGCTATTTGGGAGATGCTTGGTGGTTGGTCAAGAATATGTAAGAAAGCTTAGAAAATGATTGTTATGCATATATATACATACAACTGTGCTATTTTAAGTAGATTATTGTTATCATGGAATAGTTCATTGTTGGCTGACTACATCCTGATCACCTGATAGACAGTAAGATCGAATAGGGTGCTTGCTGTTCCAGTATTAATTAGAACTTCTCATTCATGTATGTTTACACACACATACAAAACGATGCCGAGTCCAATACTATCAGCTACTATAACATTGGGTGCATGATAAGTGGTGCACCTGTTTGAGCTAGTTGCTAGACTCAACTCAGACTTCTCTCGTTTAATCTAACCAATGCAACTGGAATCATAGCTTGCTGTTGATCATCCTGGATTTGCTATGCCATTAGTTGGAATAGTATTTGTTCCTGATAATCTTGTCTTGAAACAAGATATGTGTATTTTAGATTGTGATGACCTGATAAGCCACCACAGTTTATTTCTCATGCTCCTGGCATCTCTAATATTGTAGCTTCTGCTGTACAGAACTATAACTGGGCCTAAAATTCGTTCCTGACCAATTTGAAATCAGTTGGCTACATCATGACGCCTTGTGGCTTCTATGGAGATGGAGATGATGGGCTTGTAGAGCCATTAAGGATCCTAAAACAGAATTACAAGTTGCAGTTTCCACTGCTACTACCTGTTTCTTTCGATACAACAGCTATTTCAAAGCGACATCTTTGAACAATATCACCACCAGACCAGTCTCTGGGATATCCATGAGACGCATGTATTGCTATATGGGTTAACTTAGGAGTCCATTGATGAACGTATTAATGAGCATGTCAGCAACTGACATGTTTAAGAATGCCTTTGTATATAATCTCCTGATATTATCCATATAAGCAGCTACGTTATTACTGGAAGCCCCCCCCCCCACACACACACAATAGCACAGGGGTAATTCTGAAGGCTTATAACACTAAGATTCGGGTTTCGATACCCATGGTGAGCACAGCACATCTCCCCCATTGTGCTTAACTACAAAAAAACAATCTCATTCGAAACATAACTTGGAACCTTGAATTTGACTGTATTAGTAATTTGGTTCCACACATGGTCAAATATGTGGTGCAACTTAGCAACAACTGTGTCCCAGTCATCTAATAGTTTTTGGGTTTTTTTTTGTCTACATAATCTAGGGTGTTTAGCACCGAAGCTAAAGACTCAGTAGTAGGTGTTGTGTCAACTATTCCAAGAGACAACCTATCTGAAACGTATAAGAATTCAGTCCAAACTCTTCATTCATTGTCCACTCAAACACCAGCAGATTAACATTCTTCACGCCACCACCATTGTGAAAACACCTGCTATTAACTTCTCAATCACTGTGCAGATGAGACACTATCAGAGTTTGAGGAGAGCCTCATAATGCTCCAAAAGTATGAATATATTCACAACCTGGCAAATGCAGTGTCCTCAGGAAAAGTTAAGAGATTAGAATGCCACAAAAAAGTAAGGATATGCATTATATCACATTCTACATTAACCTCAGCTGTCATTCATGGTCTTAGGATATTACTAGTGTGCCTAGCCAGTCTGAAGTACTCCTGATTCTACTTCTCAGTTAAAGAGGCAGAAAACGCATGATACGCCTACATATCACACTTTCCCTGTTCGCTTTGTTTTCAAGCTGACCCATCTGTCCTTGTCTTTAATAACTTAAAACCAATTAAAAGTTAATTCGCGCATACTTCATCCTCACCCGTGCAAAATGTTTAACACTACAGCGCTCTAACGATATAACCAAAACGACTTTGCAAATACTCTGAAAATGAAACTTTAACAAAGTAACGTAACATAACTTTTTACCAATGGAAAAATATAATTATTATAATGAAACCAAAGCTGTAAGCTAATATACAATGCAATGTTAAGTAATACAATTACGTAATTCCCAAATGAACTCTTAAAAACTACTAAACAATATTAATCACATACAAACAATAAGCTCTTTGACGAAGAGTTAATTAAATAACCAAGTTTGCACATATAATAACACTCTAAAAATTAAATCATGAAAACAGCCCTTTAACAATAAAAATAATATTACTTAAATGAAATATAAGCCTTTTAACATAGAATCGATATTATGTATCAAAAATCAACCCTTTATCATTTCCTTAAGTAATATAAGACTTTTAAAATCCACAGTAAAAGTTTTAAAATACATTAAAATGACCTTTCAACAAACATTACATACAAAACTGAAAGAAAATTCAGAAACAAAAATATATATCAAAAAAAGTAAAGCCATTCACACATAACACAGCAAAAGATGCATATGACACACAAAAGTGATCTATTAAAACGCACACATATACCATGACAAAACAACTTTTAAACACAAACCTTAACCAAAATGGAAAAAGGAACTTTAAAACTTTTGTTCAAGTTATAACGCCCCAGTTACAACAACACTCTCTGTCCTAAAATTTCATTTAGAAACAGTGTTAAAACTACTACAGTGGTCAAGTAACATTTCTACGTGTATTCACGCATATCTCACTTGTAGACATTGTAATCCTAATACCCATAGATGTCCCAATACACTGAGATTTCTTCGGGACTCACACTTTACCACAATTCAACTGTGCTCTCAAAGGTCATCATTGGTATGAAAATGGGTCACAGTTATTTGGAACCCTGCGATATTTTACTCTCCCTGCTATCTGATTATTATGTAAAACAAGTCCAGTAGGAAAGAAATGGGGAGGGGGTGGGTGTAAGACTGTATGTAATTTCTGGTACTTACACAAGTAAGTGAAATGAGGTCAGCTATTGTGCAGATGTTAATCTCGATTCTTTAACCATGTAAATTCATTAACATTAACATTTTATTTTATATTTGACTCCTTTCACATGAAAGGTAGTCTACTTAAAGAATAAAGCAATACCACATGGGTGTT